AAAAGAAAAAAAAAATGATTGATTGAACCAAATTCACTTTATTCAAACAACTAAATCACCACTGCCAATGGATGTTTTAACAGCCTTGATAATGGAGTGACTTTTATACAATATATAACTCTACTATATCATGTTAAGTGGGTTAGTGTATCCTTCCGCAATCAAATGAAAGTACCATAAGTCACATACAGCATTTTTAATTTATGAAAGATCTCAGAATCCCTAGAATATTCTAACATTGCTGTGTCATATATTCAAGCTCTCTATCCATTTATGTAGCCAGAGCTTAAAAACTAAAAGCTTTTATCTTTTTTTTTTTCTTGTGGTGAAATCATTGGGTCATGGTGCACAATGTATGCAAGACATTTTCAAGCATAATAGGTTTAGACAGTAAATGTCAGAATCCTATTATACTAATTCTACACAAAGCATGAATTATTAATGGTTCACCTCTAATTCCAATGACTGAACATATATAAATATAAAGTGGACTCTTTATGGGGAAGATATATTTTCTAGACAAGAATAAACATAAATACAAATTGAAAGTTCCATTGGATTAATAACACAGAAACTTTGATGTATAAGTATACTTATAGACAGACCATGATTTTAGTTACTAAGAATTCCTGGAAACTGCATCATGAATTGAAGATAAAATATTTGTTTGCATGCATTTTAGACATACTATGTAGTATAACTTTGTAAAAGGGATACCAAATGTTTTATTTTGGGATGATTATCTACTGGGAAAACTAAAGATAATCAATGGAAAATCATTAGACTAGGAAGAAGAGCACTTCTGGATAGCCATTTATAAAATAAATGGTTCTAAGGTAACAGAAAGAGATTTAATTTTCTTCCTTCCTGACAATTACCTCTAAACAATAATAATAAATAAGAATACAAATATCATCAATAATCCTAAATTATAAATATTGTCAAATGCAATTTATATGAAGTGTTGAAGTGGCAAGACATGAAGAATGAATACTGTTTACTATGGAATTCAAAGATAATTTGTAAGTCAGTTTTTCAAAAGAGGCAAACCAAAAAAACAGACTCTTCACTAGCAAGAACAAACAGATAGTAACCAGAGGGGAGGTGGGTGGGAGGATGGGTGAAACAGGTGATGGAGATTAAGGAGTGCATGTGTTGGGATGAGCACCAGGTGATGTATGGAACTTTTGAATTACTATATTGTACACATGAAACTAATATTACACTGTATTTTAACTAACTGGAATTTAAATAAAAACTTAAAAATATAAAAATTTAAAATAAAAAAATAAATTTAAAATTAGGTGATGTAACCTAAAATATAAGTCCAACCATTTCTTTTGGAAACCAAAAGGACAGCAGCTCCAGCTGGTGATGGGACTTACCTGAACAACACTTGGTATCGTGGAATAATATGCTAAAAAAACAAAGGTGAAAGAATCAGGAAAAAATAAGTCAGATAAAGAATACTCAACAACTTCCCTCCCCCCTCCCCCCCAAAACCTGCAACTAGGTAAGCAAATAAAAAGTGTGACTAAACACATTACTATGCATTAAGCAACTCAATAAAGAGACACATATTTCACAGTGGTGGAAAAGAGCACAAGACAACATAAAGAAGTGAAACAAGAACTGACAGCATTCAAGGAAAGAGTGAAGAACAAAGATAAATCATCACACAAGTGCTCCACATGCAAAGCAGCTTAAAGAAAGGAAACAATGCTGAAAACAATAACAAAGGTAGAAAAATTGGATTTTATAAAGTGAGCAAATATTTTAGGAATGATTGCATTGTTAGGCTTATAGAGAAAATAATAGCTATGAAATGTGATGTTTGAGCCCCATATTTCTTAATTAGTGTTTCTTTTTTTTTCTTTTTTTTGCGGGGAGGACAGGAGGCGCAGAGGGAAAGGGAGAGAGAGAAGCTGGGTGTGGAGCCTGAGGGGGGGGCTCAATCGCAGAACCCTGAGAACAGGACCTGACCCAAAATCAAGAGTCAATGGTTAACTGACCAAGCCACCAGGAACCCCTTAATTAGTGTTTCTGATGAAGAGAATGGAAAAATGGAAAAAGGGAATTATACAAAAACCTTTAGAAAAAAAGAACCAAAATATTGAAAAGTTGCATGGTGTCTATGAATAAATGGATAGAATTAGCATCAATGAGATCTATTCTAGTTAAAATCCTGGAGGACAAAGGAAAAAAAAATAATCCTTTGTCATCTAGACAAAAGAGAAAAAAAATCAGGCTGACTTTATACTTCTGCCCTACATTTTACTTCAAGAGACATTAAAACCATGACTGCAATGTAAAATATGGTCTAGGATACAATAGACTGCGTATGACGTTGGAGAAAATAAAGAAGATATTTTCAAATCAATGAACATTCCTCTAAAAATTATTTCCAGACAAGTGAGAAATGAATAAACAAGAAACAATAATACATGAAAATAATAATTAAAAAATAAGTAAGAGTATGTTTGGTGACCAACGAATCTATTTACATAAGGGACTCCATGTTAAGCTGTTGTGGAACGGGGCGCCTGGGGCCTCAGTCATTAAGCATGTGCCTTCAGCTTGGGTTACGATCCCAGGATCCTGGGATGGAGCCCCACATTGGGCTCCCTGCTCGGCGAGAAGCTTGCTTCTCCATCTCCCGCTCTCCCTGCTTGTGCTCTCTCTCTCTCTCTCTGTCAAATAAATAAATAAATAAAATCTAAGGGACGCCTGGGTTGCTCAGTTGTTAAGCATCTGCCTTCGGCTCAGGTCATGATCCCAGGGTCCTGGGATCGAGCCCCGCATCGGGCTCCCTGCTCGGCGGGAAGCCCGCTTCTCCCGCTCCCACTCCCCCTGCTTGTGTTCCCTCTCTCGCTGTCTCTCTCTCTGTCAAATAAATAAATAAGATCTTAAAAAACAAAAAAAAGCTGTTGTAGAACTTAGGAAAAAAATGTATATTTTATAAACCATAGCAAATAAAAAAATGCTATAACAAAGAAAAGATGGAAGAAAAAAGGTTTGTAATCATTTTATATTGTACATTTGTATATTTTTAATTTTCCAAATTTTCTTCAGTAAACATATGAACACATATTATGCTCTTAATCAGAAAATGCAATTTTAAAAATAAAGTCAGGTATTGTGAAAAGCCTAAACTTGTACTCTATCTTCAAGCTAAGTCAGCCTACCACAAGCTGTGTACTTACACATAAAACAGAGGAGACTTCTGAGTCAGACACAAAGTTTATTACTTGTAGTGAAAGGAGCAGCCAGACTGGCACAGCAAGGCTGGCTCCCCGAATCCCAGTTTCCACAGTGAGTCACAGTGAGGATGAGGCATAGGAGAGGAAACCCAAGTTTTGTAATCTCTGACCCTCTATATGGGCTACTGACAAACCTGTCCATACCTGCCCATCCTCTTTTCCACAGAAAGAGAGGTAATTTTTAGCATCATGGAATATCTTCAGGAAGGGACGTCTCTAAATCTCTCTAGCGGAAGTCACTGCCTTTATCTTAATGTATCCAGGAATGTACACACTTTTTCTTAAGAAGAATTCCCTATTCTTATCTCTCCAGAGCTTGTATGTCTCCACAAATTTTCCTGAAAATATATCAAGAGCGCCTGTCTTTTAATACTTGGACATGTAGTAATGCCACAGATTCTTGGAGAATCGACTCACAATTCAGTTCCAATTGAGTGATAATGGTCCAATTGGAGGCCCTTTTTTTACTTTCCACTATTGCTGCCTTTCAAGAACATGATTTCTTTTAAAACTAATGGATAAATTTATAAATACAATTTTACCGCATTTGCTAGTTGTTTTAATTGAAGGCAATTAATGGCAGAAACAGAACCTGAAAACTCTGCTCCATGTCACATCTATAATTGGGAGAGGATAATCACTCTGAACATCCAGCTTTTTGGGAAAGCTTGAGGTGATTCCCAGGCTTGGCATTCTGCCCATCTCTATTACATTCTCAATTGTTGGTCAGTTCTAGGATAAGCGCCGGAGGCAAATACCTCACGCTTGGTATTTCATTCTTCAGGTAATTGATATGATATTTCACGGTCTGTGCTGTGGCTTCCAGGTCTCTGTGAAATGATTAGCAATGACATGAGTCAAGAAGCAGGATCTTGGACCTTCTGTATAACTCGAAAGAGGTTTATGTTGTTTGTGCTTCTGCAATCACTTTTAATCAACATTATTCCTGCTTGCCCATATCCAACATGGGTCAAAGGGAATTGTGTGTGTGTGTGTGTATGTGTGTGTGTGGTGATGCTATTAAAAATTAATTTATAACTGTAAAAGTAGAAAGAATTCTGAGAAAATATACAATTTCCTGATGGAGAGGTAATTTTGTAGCAGTAGAAATGCATATCATGCTTGTTATTTGTGAGGAAATACTCTGCTATTTGCATGCACACCAACCCTCAAGCTGCTCTCATACCCAAAACAATACAGAATTTGTTCTTCCCCTTTGAGGTATCATGTGCTT